TTTTGTTTGTTTGTTTGATCAGAGACGCTCTCGGCATTGTGTGTCACGCCGATGGCGCCGGCTAATAAAAGAGACAATGGAATGGGGGCACGAAACCACGCCGAGTGCCCCAGTGGAATATAAATAATGTGTGGGCACCGGGTGTTTAAACGACTATAACGAGTGTATCCTATTTTATTATCTTCGGGCAAGACACGCACACCAACGTGCAGCTTTTTTGTGTGTTTTTGAGTGAGTGCATAACGGAAGACGGATGTACACATTTTTTTCTTTTCAGCAAATGTCCCGCGGCTTTTTACAGCGTGGGCAGCCGTGCACTTTCGCGTTCCAGCAGTCATCTTGTCTGTTTGTTTTCTGATGCCCCGTTGTGGTTGTGTGTGCCCTCAGATGCTTTGTTTTCTGTGACTGTGGATAAGAACTTAATGACAATTACACGTTATAGGTATTGCAGTTTACTCCAGCGATGGGGTCCGTACCCTTTCGCGGTGCTGGGCTCTGGCTGCGTATAATATCTCTGCAGCAGGGCGTTGCCGCGAGCACGACGGAGACCAAGGTGACTTCACTCCCCGAGAAGGTTCCACGCCATGCCCGGTGCGGGGAGGTGAGGCGGTCTGCCTGCAGACTGTCGGACAGAACTGCACGACCGTTTCGCTGCGGTCACTCCGTTGATATCGCCCGTGGCGGTGACGTTCACAAGAACCCTGGCACCGAGGAGGATGGCTTCATCACTGTTTGGCAGCGTAACATCGCAGGTCTCTCGTCCGTAAAAAGATTGCATTTGCGGCGCGATTGGAGCAGCGTCCACCTGACATCGTTCTTTTTCCAGGAAATAAATGACCGTAGTGACGTGGCGACGAACGTTTCTGGCTATAATGACTGCCTTCAGGCCCGCACTGGGCGCGGTGGTGGTGTTGCCGTTCTGGTGCGCCAATCTCCACCGTGCGAGCGCCTGCCGTTCCCTGACACTGACCTCCTGGAGACCATTGCTGTCCGTGTATTTCCACCGGGCTGTCGCAGCATTTGCGTGGCGAGTCTCTACAACCCTCCCACAGCAATTGGCCAATAATCCGCATTTATCAATATCGTTTGTCGCTTGGGCCCGAAGAGGTTATCGCGAGTGACCCGAATTTGCATCGTGAACTCTGGGACAGTCATATACACCATCAAGGACTGGAGACGATAACTTCGCCGCTGTTCTAATCGATATGTATTTTGGGCTGGCGAATGACCCGACGCAGGCAACACGGATCACACATCGTGATGCCTCGTCTCCTGACGTGGCTGCGTATTGCGCCCCACGCATCTCCCACTGGACATCCACTCCCTCCATGGACTCGGACCACCGCTTAATATCTTACTTGGTAGATATGGATGATGGCACTCCACGACTAGCAAACACGCTGCCTTGACGGAAGAAAGCCACCTTTGCCCTGCGTAAAGCGGATTGCCCTGCTTTTACATCGTTGTGTGAAACCCTCCTTGCCACCGTGTCCACATGGTTGGATCCTCGCGGAGGCATCTTACGAGCAGCTGAGCGCCACATCCCGCGCGGCAGCCGCGACAGCCCCAAAACGATGTGGACACACGAAATGGAACAGGCCGAGTTCGCCGCCGAAGCAGCACACGAAGCACACACGTCGCCTCACCCGGAGACAGCCTGCTTTGAGCCGAATGTACCCGAACAAGGGAGGAACGAAATCAAGCCTTACGCCGTTGCTCCGCTATGCTTCTGGAGGCCCGCGCGAAAAGACTTGGGGCTTCATCCAGCCCAATCTGGCGATATCTTCACGGCGTGGCGGCGCCGCACCCTCATCCTCTGGAATCGGTTGTGCTCCGCGCTGAACTTGGCCGCGTCTGCGCTCTGCCTCGGCAACAGGCAAATCTGCTTGTTCGTCATTTTGTGCGGTTTCACGTGCCATAACGCCTTATACTGTCGCTGCTGCACTCCGCACTCCTTTGTTTCCTAGTGGCTGGGAAATGGATCGGCCTTTCCTGCCGTATGAACTTGACGTGGCCATCCGTGACTCTTCACGTGGCTCAGCCCATTGCCCCGACGACATGTTGAATGAATTCCTTCACCGTCTCGGGCCCGTTGCGCACGGCACTCTTAGAACGATGATCCACAACTCCTTCGCAAACGGCAGCCTGCGTGAAGACTCCATGAGCGGAAGTGACGACGGGGACTCTTCTTCACCGTCTCAGGTGGATATTTCTTGGTTGCCATTGTCTTTCATGGTAAAAAAGAGTGATGGTGAAGACTCACTGGGGCAGTGATTGATGTTGCTGCACATGACGGTAGAGGCAATTTTTGTGAAACGAAACAACACCAAAAAGCAACAACAATGTTTTCCCTTTTTTTTTTCTTTCCGTCTCTCTTTACCTATATATAGTGTGTGTGTCTGCGGCTTAGCTTCCTTTATATGGTTGGCCTTGTCATTACTGTTACGGATGCCCCTCACGTGTGATATTATATATGTATTTGTATGCACATATTCTTTTCTATGTCTGTTACTAAATGCAGCAGAAATAAAGTATGGCACATGACGATCAGGCCATCGGTATTAGGCGAATGGACG